CTTTGCCAACACAATCTTCAAATCAACTGGGGTGGTAGGATGGGGAGTAGCAGCCCTTTCTGAAGGTGTTGCTAGGTTATATTGATGGCTTTATTAAAATCAGGTGACTCTTCAAAACTACAGGCAACAAAATAAAAAATAGACCAATGGGACTACACCAAACTTAAAAACTTGTGCATATACAAAGAAACAATCAACAGTGTGAACAAGCAACCTTCAGAATGGGAGAAAATAATTGCAAGTCATGTATCTGATAAGGGGCTAATATCCAGAATAGATAAGGGACTTCTATAACTCAGCAACAACAAAAACCAAATAGCCTGGTTTAAAAATGGGCAAAGGGCTTGAATAGATGTTTCTCCTTACAAATGGCCAATAAGCACAGGAAAAGATGCTTAACATCACTAGTCACTGGGAAATGCAAATCAAAACCACGATGAGATATCACCTCACACCCATCAGGATGGCCAAAATCAAAAGAACAGAAAATAAGTTTTGGCAAGGATGCAGAGAAGTTGGAACTTCTGTGCACTGTTGATGGGAATGTAAATGATGCCCCCATTATGGAAACCAGTATGGAGCATCCACAGAAAATTAAAAATAGAATTACCACATGATCCAGCAATCCCATTTCTGGGTATATATCCAAAAGAAAGTGGGATCTCAAAGAGGTATTTACACACCCATCTTTATTGCACCATCATTCACCATAGCCAGGATGTGGAAGCAACCCACAGGTCCATCAATAAATAAATGGATAAAGAAAATGTGACATAGACATACAATGGAATATCATGCAGCCTAAAAAGGAAAGAAACCCTATTAATACATGATTTAAAAAAGTAGAATTTCATCTTTAAACAAGTAAAAATAAAAAGGAAGGAAATCTCAACACACACTACAACATGGATGAACCTCCAGGACATTATGCTAAGCAACGTAAGCCAGTCACAAAAGAACAAATACTGTATGATTTCGTTCACATGAAATACTAAAGTAGCCAAAATCACAGAAACAGAAAGTAGGAAGGTGGTTACAAAGGGCTGAGGGAGGTGGAGGGGGACATCAGTGTTTAATTGAGAGAGAGTTTCCATGTTGCAAGATGAAAATTTCTAGAGATCTGTTGCATAACAATGTAAATATACAGTTGTGCATTACTTAACGACTGGGATACATTACGAGAAATGCATTGTTAGTCAATTTTCTCATTGTGTGAACATCATAGAGTGCACTTACACAAACCTAAACGGTATAGCCTCCTACACACCTAGGCTATATGGTACTAACCTTATGGGACCACCATTGTATATGTGGTCCATTGTTGAATGAAACGTTGTTCATAGTGCATGACTGTATCTAATACTTCTGAACTGTACACTTAAAAATGGTTAAGATGATAAATTTAGTGTTATGTGTTTTTTACTGAAAAAATAATCAGATGACTCTTCTTTAACAGTGGCAGTAGCTAGAGAAGGCTAATTTCCTCTCTCACCATGGGGGTCTAAGGAATCCCCTGGAAGAGTCCCTAAGAACTGAATGTTGGGTAGGACCAGAGGAGATAGATAAAAAGCTATTAACTTCTTGAATTTCTGGAAAATACTATGGGTCTATCTAATTCCAGTAAGACTTGCCTTTTATGGAAAAAAAGTTTGTAGAAAATCAGTAACTTTAGAAAGATTTGAAGAGAGTTACTAGCTTTTGGATTATGCACAGATTATAAGATTTTTTTTCCCTTGGGATGTGGTAAGAATCATCAACACTGATGTTATGCTGCCACTGTTCTACTGAAACTTCCTTACATAAGGTTATCATTGACCCCCTAACTGCCAAGTCCAGTGGACTCCAAATGGTCCAACTGTCTACTGGATGGTATCTCAAACTCACCATGTCCTCTAAACCTGGTTCTCCTACTCTATGCCCAAACAATGGACTAATTAGATCATCAGTCACCCAAGAGGAAAACATTGACTTTTCTCTGTTTCCCCAAGCCCTTACTTTCTACTGCCTACTAACTATATCAGACAGCACTCTTTGTTGTAAATGCCAAAATTCAACTTGAACTAACTTAGACAAAAAAGAGAAAATTTATTATGAGGATATCTCACATAATCAAAGAGAGAGCTGAACAACCAAGCCATAAGAAAGGTGGGGACACAAATGAGCCTCAGGGACAACTGGAACCATGAGACTTCTTCATTTAGCAGAAAATATGCCAATTTCCTCCAAGGGAAGAATGACTTGATTTTCCAAATTCTAGTTTGAAAAATCCCAAAGAAGGGCTCTGATTAGCCCAACTCAGCTTAGTTGTTTACTCTGAATCAACTCAAACACTCAATATTAGGAGAATACTTAAGTAAATTAAGAAAAAAGAAATCTATATAGTGGAATTTTATGCAGCCATCAAAGTTATGTTTATGATAGGTTTAAAAAAATTGATACGGGGAAATACATATTAAAATCAGAATGTTAATTAACTCTACAATAATATCTCAATTCTGTAAGAAAAAAGATTAGAATGAAATATATCAAAATGTTTAATAGTTGTCACTTCTAGGGTGTGCACAATTTACTGTCTTCATTGTTTCTGCATATTATGTTTTTTCCTATAATAAGCATATATAACTTTGAAGACAATGGAAAAAATGTAAAAACTTTGACTGTCACTTTCTGGGCTATTGTAATAGCCTCCACATGGATTTCCAGACGCCAAAACATCTTTTGCACAGCTGCAAAAAATTATCTCACTGAAACTCAGGTCTGGTCATGGCTTACTCCTATTTTAAAATCTTATTTGGTTTCTCACAACAAACAGTAAAATCCAGACTGCAAGATCCTTCACTGTAACCCAATCTATCCGCCCAGTTTGATCTCCCACCAGACATTTTATATGCTTCCACCTCAAACTACTCACAGTTCCCCAAATACACCCTGCACACAACTTTATCCTTCCACGTTGTTGTTTATTCTCTCCAGCAAACAGCATACGATTGTCTCCTCCTCCATCACTACTGCTGAAATCTATGATTCTTCTTGGGGTGATCCAGCAGGGATGCTCAATTTTTTGTATATTCTCACCCTGAGAATGATTTTCATCTACCAAGGAGTGTCACTTTGTTTGTCCAAGTATGAAGCCTCAGGAGGTATAGGGGTAGAAAAGGGAACTGATCTGAGAAGTCAAATCAACTGAATCATCCCTGAATCAATGCTGGCGATCACGGTCCAGCAAGACAACTTTCACCTTCCTTGTTACCAGGCTCCCTCCTTCAACCACCTATCCCAGTTATGCAAACAATTATACCTTTAAAGCACTTGGCAAAATGTGAGTTGCCGTTATTATTATTCATATCAACAGGGCTTCCTAACTAAAATGCTAAGAGATTCCAAAGTTCAGGAACCCACATCACTCCGATTCATTGTCCCAAATCAGTTTGTGAGCTTATAGGCTGACTAGCTCCAGGATGCTGATTCAATGATAGATGTATCAACTTCCCTTGCAATCATCCTTTCTCCGCTGAACTCCACTCCCATTACATCCCCTCCTATGTGCAACTGCAGCCTTCTAAATGTCTCCAAAATGCACCTAAGTGTTGGGAAGATTTTGTCCCCAAAGATTTTATCTGAAGTGAATGCCTTTAACACAAACAAACAAACAAAAATCTGTTTCATTTCCAGGAAAGTGATCCTTGTGTTTCTGTGTTCAAAGTTGCTGATAAGCAGTTTATAACATGATAATAACAAGCATTAAGCACTTACAATGTGTCAGACACACATAAGCTATGTTTCACATATATGTGTCTCATTCAAAACTCATAATTTTCCGTTGCTTTACAGAACTGGAAACTAAGGCTCAGAGAAATTGAGTAATTTACCCACTGTGGCAATGTGGCAACTTAGCCAGTGTGGCTGAGTCAGGACTTAAATCTATCTTAGTCTATAGCCCTTGTTCTTGCATATTACATCATAGAAACCACGCCAGGGGCCAGCCTGGTGGCACAGCAGTTAAGTTCGCACGTTCTGCTTCTTGCTGGCCTGGGGTTCGCCACTTTGGATCCCTGGTGCAGACATGGCACTGCTTGGCAAAAGCCATGCTGTGGTAGGCGTCCCCCATACAAAGTAGAGGAAGATGGGCATGGATGTTAGCTCAGGGCCAGTCTTCCTCAGCAAAAAGAGGAGGATTGGCAGTAGTTAGCTCAGAGCTAATCTTCCTCAAAAAAAAAAAAAAAAGGAAAAAACCACACCAAATGGCAGAGGGTGGAGGGAAAGTGTGTTCTTCAAATATTCAGGATATCTAGGGTTAGAGAGGCTGGATCTACTCAACATTCAAGATAGAACAAATAGTGTCACTGCCATGAATGTTTCACCAACTCCTTTAACCATAATTAGTCACTTGTTCTTGGGTAATTTTTTGTACCTCTCGATAACTTCTATCACTGGCTTCCTTTGAGTTATTACAATTAGCTGTGTATGTCTTTCTGGAGGGTAGGGATCTTGTCTTACTCATCTCTTCATTCCTTACTCTCTGTAGCACAGAGTCTTGCATATGGTAATAACTCAATGTTTGTTATTGATTGGAGATAAAGTAAATGAAGTATTGTGGAGATGCCTTTGCTTTAACTTATTAATAAATGATGTGATATTGCATAAAACCTAAAACAACTAAACAAGCAGAAAGTTAGAAAATACTAAAATCATAACATTCTTTGCCTCTAGTAAATCACTAGAAAACAGCTCAGAAGACTGTTTCACCCTCCATTCCCAAAGCATTACTATTGGGGAGAGAAAAGTAACTGAACAGAGCGAGCAGACACCTCTGGCATCTAGTCGGTAGTCAGTAGAATATCTTTTTAAGAAAAGAACACTGCCAGCCCAGAGCTTTTAGGGCTCAGGTTTGTTATCACGTGCCACGTCGTTCTCTCACGTCTCTAAGGGACGAGCCCCAGTGTGAGACTTGAAAAGGACCGCTGAGAACTACATTTCCCATGATGCCCCTCTAACGCACGCAACGCAGCCTGCGACGTCGTTCCCATGGCAACCCAAGAGCCTGCTTTCCCAGGTCCATCTCGGAGCTCGCGATCCTTCTGATTCTAAACTGGGTCCTATACTGAGGCCACGACACTGAGGCGGCCGAGCCACGATGCCCAGGTATCCTCGCAACTTTGCTTGCGCCCAGCTTCGCTGCCCTTGATAGCCTCCCCTCACTCCCCACCCAGCCTGGACGGGACAGGGAAGGGAGAGGCCGCTAGGGGTGATTTTAGGGAGAGGAGCTCATGCGGGCCTACTGGTGGAAGAAAATGGTGCGTCTCTTCTGTTTGCAACCCCTGTCTGGACGGTCAGGGAGCCGTAGGAACTATCCTTAAGCTTGTAGATTCTGCCGCAAGCAGGTAGAAAACTTCCCCAGGGAGAAAAGTAAAAGATTTTTAAAGATCATTCAACTGCAGCCATTCACTTTTCAATAAAAGTTTGTTGCGGGCCAGGGAATGTTCTAGGAGCAGGGGTTCAGGCGGTGAACTAGACCACAAAGCCACCTCCTCAGGGATCTCCCCTCCTGGTAAACGGGTTCACGACAGTAAATCAGGGGAAACTTGCAAAATTCTGTGAAAAGCGTAAGGTCACGTTTAAAAGGGGGGGGAGGTGAAGATCTGTAAAATACATTTTAGCTCTTCAATTCTATGATGTCAATTTTAATTACCTCTTCTCAAGGTTAAAAACCTTCTATGAGCAACTTATAAGGACGTTGGGGAGAGAGGGATCCTGCAGTCCATCACAGAGCAGGATAAATCTGTTTTTCTCACCTTGTGGATCTCTGGTGTGGTCTCTGTTGAGTTTATGGACCTTAGTTTGAAAAACCGTCGGCTTCCTTCCCACGGCGGTATAATTGGTTACCGTTATAAAGTTATGGTTATAGTTATAAATTTCCATCAGTGGTACGACTGGTTGCAGCACCTCCTTCTCTCTGCTGGAAACTTGGAAAGCAGATAATCACATTTTGAAAGAACGGTGTGTAAATGAAGAGCAGACAGTCCTGGACTGAGTCCTTGGGGGTTCACCTGTGAAATAAGTGTATGAATTTTAGTACAAATATTTAGGGACACTTATATTGGTCTTTTATAGCCCCTTTCTTCATCCTTGGTTCTTGAATAATAATTATTATAAATACTCAATAATTTTAGGGAGTTATATATAGCCAAGTCCTAAACTGAATGAATTATCACATTTTAACCATCAATCACGACAATCCTATAAGGTTGGTCTTCTTTTTTATTGGCGTTTTAGAGATGAACAAACAGAAGTGAGCCTGGGGACTAGCACAGAAGCTGGCATACATTAGGTGCTCAATAAATATTTTTTGAACTAATAAAGGAATGAAGGATCCAGAAAAAGTTCAGTAATTTGCCCAAGTTGGCATATGTAGAAAGTAGCAGATTCAGGCTCACAACACATCAGATCTTGCCCGTATTTTTTAGTTCAATACTCCATTTTTCATTTAGACTTTAATTTAAAAAAGGCATAATCTTAGTTGTGTAAAGTTTTATATGTATGTAGAGAGACGAATGGAAATATGATTTTTTTTTTTTAATAAAGATTTTTTTTTATTTTTTCCTTTTTCTCCCCAAAGCCCCCCGGTACATAGTTGTGTATTCTTCGTTGTGGGTTCCTCTAGTTGTGGCATGTGGGACGCTGCCTCAGCGTGGTCTGACGAGCAGTGCCATGTCCGCGCCCAGGATTCGAACCGACGAAACACTGGGCCGCCTGCAGCGGAGCGCGCGAACTTAACCACTCGGCCACGGGGCCAGCCCCTGGAAATATGATTTTCAAATGTGCTTTTGGGTGATTTTTTTTCCTTCTTTATATTTTATATATTGAAAAAGGGAATCTTGACCCAAAAATATAATTTAAAGAACAAAAACAAAAAAAAGAAATATTTCAGGGAGCAAGAGTACATTGGTTTTACACCTTCCCCATTTTCCAAGATGCTGGTGGTTTTCAAGTTGTAAATTTCCAAAAGTCATTGTACGTTCATGTGTGTCTGAGAAGCTAACACACACAGCTTTCAACCTTGCCTGGAAGCCCCAAAATAAGACAGCCTCAAATCCTGATGATAAAGGCTCTGCTTATCATTTTCAGCTTCTGTGAAGCAGTACAAAGAAAATGACTAATCCTCAGAAGTTTTACGAGTTTATTGTCCCCCAGAAAATGTTGATTTGTTTTATAAATTTGACTGAAATAAAATTTCTCTGAGCTTGAAATAAATACTTGAAAGGATTCTTTTTGTTTCCCTGAATTTTGTTTTTCTGCCTCTCATATAGTGACACTCTCTGGGAAATTGCAAAAGCTGAAGTGGAAAAACGAGGAAGTAATGGAAGTGAAAGTGATGGAGTTGAAATTGGAGAAAAATCTGTTTTCTTCATTGGCAGTAAAAATGGGGTAATGCATTTTTCCTCCTCTTTTTTTTTTTTTTCAAGTATTGTGATGATTTAACAACCAGTAGTAAAATTTATTTTAATACTTTGTTAAAAATTTGGATACTTCATCTCTTTAATCAGATGACCATTCTCCTGCCTTCTGGTTACACTGGAGCTGCTTGTGCCCTGTATGAGGGTGCCCTGCTCATGGGTGAATGGAGACTAATATCCAGCCTGAGTGCCTCTTGTGAAGTGATGTGCACTGATGTGGGCTGCAGCATCCCAGAGGAAGGGGCAGTTGTTTCTAATTAGACTGCCCAAGGAGTCATCTTTTCCCAGTTTGCACAAAGGCACCATAAATGCTAATCTGATGATCATTATTATTATTTATAAGTTGCTTGTACAACTGAAACAAGCGCATAGATGATAAAAACGTGAAGCATATAGGGGATGATACATGTAACCTTCACTTACCTCAACTAGAGTCATAGAAACCGAAGGAACATTGGAGACACCCCAGTCTTCTACAATAGGGATTCTTACCTTGGGGTTCATGGAAGTACTTCTTGGAGTCAGTGAACGCCCTAGAAATGTATGCAGAATTGTATGATTGTTCATGGGTGCATTTTTGTGGGAAATTAGATTCTCCCGGGGTTCCAGCACCTCCCAAAAAGGTTAAGAGCCACTGTAAACAGTGGTTGTATAGTCTAGGTTTGAATATCTCCAGCAATAGAGGAGTTCACTTCCACAAGGCAGCCTATTTCAATTTTCTTTACTTGAAAATCCTAGTTATAAATCCTAGTTACTAGAAAGCCTCAGTCTGTTTCACTGTAACTTCTACCCCTTGGTGCTAATTCTGAACTGTAAAAGTATAGGAATAAATTTAATTCCTCTTCTACCTGTTAAATCTTCAAATGTTAGTCAGTTTATTCCTACATCATCATTCCTAATAGCTACTTGTCATTCCATTATATGGATTGTCACAATTAATTTAGCCAATACCCTATTTTAGGACAATTAGGTTGTTTTTAGTTTTTCACTTTGATATAACACCTGCTAATAAACATCCTTCAATAATATACATTTTGGGTCTATTCCACTTATTAATTTCTATTTCTCACTATAAAAAAAGTCTTTCAGTTTAATCGTATCCCAGATGTAATCTGGAGTAATTTATTTATGAGCACATTTTTTGGTAAAAATTACAGATTTTTTTAGTAAAAATAATACATCGTAAAATGTTCTGTGTTTTTGGCAGTTTGGGGTTTTCCAAACTATTTTCTTTGGAGCTTAACAGTTTCCTCCATTAGAGCCTTCCCTGCTGCTCCTCTTTTATCTGTTTTCTTGTAAGAGATCATTTTTTTTAAAAAAAAAAAGAATTTTACTATTAAAAAAACAAACAATGATTAAACCATTGAGCCAGTTGCTAACTAAGACATGAGGTTAAGTTTCGTGATGAGTGGCAGAGATGGCCAGAACCTATATTTCCTGACTCCTAAAAAGAAACTTAGAATGTACATCCTCTAGGAATAAAAAACCCAAAAATATTCTGAGCCAGTATGTGGATTGCTTACTTTGAACTTACTTGTAACATGTCCTTTATTTGTATGTTATCTTTTTTCTTTATTTCCACTTCAACAATTGGAATTAAAACATTTTAGAAGACACTAATCATCAGCTTAACCAGTCATTAGCATTGATGAATAGAGAGAAAATTTAAGACAGCTGCCAAGTTGACCACTAAAGTGAGGTATGATTTGCTAGTATTTGTCATCTGCAGGACTTTATAATTATAATAATAGCAGTGTAGTTACACTGTGATGGAAAGTTGACAGTTAACTTTTTCCACTTAATCAAATTTAGGAACAATTCTGAAAGTTTCTAGTTTCCAGGTAATTTATCATTAAAGTGATTAAAAAGCTATTTTGGGCCACAATTATGAAAAATAATAAAATTTTACATATGGATGACATTAACACAATATTCTTTCTTTTTTAATTTCCAGGGAAAGACTACTATTATTCTAAGGTGTCTTGACAGGTAAGTGTTAGTTAACTTTTAGACTACATTTGTTGCTTATTCTAGTTGTATAGGGCAAGTTAGATAGTTATGGAAGGAGAACAATTTTGAGGCCCAAACAAAATAATTTAATTCTTAGTGAATCCATAGTATGGCCTTGAAGATCTCCTTTAAAGATAAAACCAACAGCAAGCACCAAAAAAAAAAAAATTATACAGGATTAATACTGGATTTGCCTATTTGGGGGAGAAATTAACATAGCTATGATAGTACCTACCTTCTTTTTGGCTATGCTACTCTGATATTTAAATTATTTTCATTTTACGTAGTCCACGATTATTTGAACATTAATTATAATCTTTAAATTGCTCATGGATACATTTTTGAAGCACAGTGTTGGTCCTCAAACTACATTTTACCATTTATTTTCTATACTTCCTAACTTTCTATCTGGCCATTAGATTAAGATTTAGCATTATGATTGGTAGATGTTGCAGAAAGTTGATAAGGAAAGTCTTCAACCAATTTTGGAAGATATTTCTCTGTTCCCTTCATCCTAATGCCTATTTCTTATAACTTCTCCAAAAACATCCAGAGATGGAATTGTGTCTCAGGGTCACAGTAAAGAAACATTCATTTGAAAAAATATTATTAAAGAATAGCAGTTCTGGAATCCTGGCTTTGTGTAATTCCTTTCACCAACAGAATTGTTTCTTAGAAGAACCATCCACAGTGACACCTGCATTGTCTTTCCCTCCCTAGAAATCATGGCTCTCTTTAGGCCATATGTGTTTCCTACTACTAACAAGTCATCTACCATAACATCAGCTTAGGATAAAGTACTACATTGAACTCAAAATTATTAATTTCAGTTCCTTGATGGTCTACTTAGAAAAAAGAAAATTCTGCAAATTGTAGGTTAAATATAAGAGCTTATAAATTTTGTCTTAAAAGCATTTTGTTTCATAAAAGAAAATTACTATCTTACAGAAAATATAGCCAAATATTATTTTATATATGTATCAAAAAAGATATATGTAGGGCCAGCCCTGGTGGCCTAGTGGTTATGTTCAGCGAACTCCATTTCGGCGGCCCAGGTTCACTTCCTGGACATGGACCTATGCCACTCATCTCTCAGTGGCCATGCTGTTGCAGCAGCTCACATACAAAAAGAGGAAGATTGGCATCAGATGTTAGCTTAGGGTGAATCTTCCTCAGCAAAAAAAAATGAAACAAAAAAGAAAGTATGTAGGGATGATATACAGAATAGTTAATAAATATAAAGCACAAATTAAAAAATTGTTTCATACCATTATTATTCAGCTACAACATGGATGAACCTTGAGGACATTATGCTAAATGAAATAAGCCAATCACAAAAAGACAAATACTATATGTGATTCCACTTACATGAGGTATTTAGAGCAGTCAGATTCATAGAAACAGAAAGTAGAATGGTGTTTGCCAGGGCTAGAGGGAGAGGAAAATAGGGAGTTGTTTAATGGGTATGGAGTTTTGGTTTTGCAAGATGAAAAAGTTCTGCAGTTTAGTTGCTCACCAATGTGAACATACTTAACACGACTGAGCCGTACACTTAAAAATGGTTATGACAGTAAATTTATGTGGTTTTTACTAGAATAAAAAAAACTTCTTAAATAGGTAGATGATAGATATATACCCTAAAACTACTTACCAAGCAATATAAGCTGTGGTGTAAATAATTCATCAAATCATTTGTTCATTTTTAGGACTTGAAGTGATTTGTTTGCAGCTCCCACTAGCTAAATGGTACCCAGGTTTCAGCCATGATTTAAGATAGAGAACTGTATTAAAGTCTTCCAGTAATGTCTCCATTCAGTTGATAGTCATCGGATTCCCAGCTCCCCACATTAAGGTCCTTCATAAACCTGATGTCAGTGCTTCCCACTTGGCCTGTATGCGGAGAGCTTGTGTCCTAACATGGCCATCAATACTGCCATCCCCATGCCTTCTCCCCTAGCCCAACAGTACCTCTAGGGGTGACCACAGCACCCACTAAGATGGTTTTTTGAAGGCTTATTTACTTTTTATATAAAATTTTTATCATTTTTACCTCAATGCTACTATATAAGGTAACTTCTCTACTAATAAAGTTTTTAAGAGGAAGCAAAACTGAATCGGGTAAGATGATAGCATACGAAAATCCATGATGGTAACACTGTCTGTCTTTATTGTACAGGGATGAACCACCAAAACCAACCTTAGCTTTGGAATATACCTATGGAAGAAAAGCAAAAGGGCATAACATAGTGAGTGTCTTTTTATGTGGAATTGCTGTGCCCGAAGATGGAGAAGTAATGATGCTGACTTTGTTTTCCATTTTCCATCTTACCTACAATCAGTAAACATATCCAGTTGTACACTTCATAGCTATTCGCTTATAAACTTCACATGCAACTCAGCAGATGTGCACCCAACCAAAACTGTAAAAATATTTTAGCCTTCTCATTTATTATGTCTTAAAATGCTGGAATAAGATTTCTTTGTAACTTTATTGTGTAGTTTTTTGGCATGTTTATATTAATTATGTTAATGTGATGTACCCTCTTCTTTCAAATGAGAATGATACTGTGAGTTCCTTCTGTCTCCAAAAAAATCTGCTATGAGTTTGACCTGTGGAACATTTATGAAAACATACTGCTCAAAATCCAAATCATTAGTGTTTTTACATATACATCTTGAAGTTGGCAATACTATTTGAGAGTGAAGGCCCTAACAGGTCAAAATCCTATTTTCACTGGTTTTAGTATCTTTTCAAAAGAAAGTTAGAAATTACTCAGGATAGAGAGAGTTTATGGTGTATGTTAGGGGGGTAAAAAATCCTAAATAGAATTCTCTTCTGGAGTTCTAAAATGAAAAGAGGTCATTTCTTAAATAAAGTTAGGTATATGGAAGAACAATCTAGAATAAAAGATCCCATTTCTCCTGTAACACAGACAAATTTTTATAGATTGATCTAGTCCTAATGTTCAATCATTAGATAATGTGTAAAGAGTTAAAACTGCCTGTTGCTGCTTCCTGGATTCACTAATAAAAGTTGGTTATTAAAACTGTGAGATTAAAAAGAGAAGAAAACGTAATATATTGAGATGTGGGAGAACTTCATTTTTTTGACTCACATGAATTTTGATGTGAGTGACAAACCTAGAAATGGAATTATCCTTTTCATTGGAAACTTTGAGACAACGTGCATAAACTTAACTTTTGAGAGAGCTCCAAAAAACTTCCCTTCACCAAATTGTGAATCAAGGGACATTTTCCAATGAAAAATTATTTCCCCCACAAACATTAATGATTCAGATATCAATAGCAAAACAATTTTAGTGATTATGAGATGATAACTTGTCAAAAATACAATATATATATATTTGTAAAACTTGCTTTAATGACCATCTGTCTCTTCCAAGTTCATGGTAACAGATATATGAAAACTCATGTGATTCTTTTTCACCTGTTTTTTCCTCTAAACTTTGTGCTATCAAGTTGGACTTTTCGATATTCATTCTGGAAGATTCATGTCTTTCTCAGATTGCATGTTCCCTGTGAGTTCTACATGGACGCGCTTTGTCAGCTCCTCACACAATCTCGGTGTTAGGAAGGCTTCTCAGCATCAGGGAGGAAGCAGAGCTGCCATTTGCTGGCAGTCTAAGAAAGTGGTGAGGGAACAGATGGCCTTGATTCCAAGCTGCTTGGCTCCCTCGCTCTTTCGTGCCCCTCATATTTAAGAGTCCTGTAAAAGGGAAGCAGTTGCTTAGTCTCTTCTTGTTGCCCACCTGCCACTTGTATTGACAGTGCTCACCTGTCAGATTCCCCAGGGGCGTCAGGCACGGGCAGTCTGTTTATTCTTTCGCTCACGTAATCCTGATCTGCAGCTGGGACTGCCATCTCTTCATCCCATTTTCTCATGCCTTACCTGTATGTCTCATTTATTTTGTGAGCTTCTGCCTCCCTAAATCAGGACGTTTTCCTATTCAGCTGTTTTATTTCTATCTAGAATGATAGCTGTTTTAAAAAAGATGACACCAAATGTGTCTAACTGGTTAATTTTATTTCAAACTTGAGTCTCTGTGCTATGTGATATTTACAGAATTGAGGCACTGTTTGTATCTTCTATTAAGGTGTTACTAGAATTAGGGCATTTATGTACACATATATATTCCTAATGTTTCATCTTTGTTCTTTGGAGTAGATGTTTTGGTGCATTTTGAGGGATGAGATAGAGAAAGGGGAAAGTTTTGACTGCCAAGAAAGGCTTAATTGAGGACTATAATATTTTGTATCCATAATTATTACTTGTTGGTGCTAATGAAGTAGAAGAAGTATTTAAAATTCAAAATATCAAAAAATTTTAATGTGAAATAAACCTGTTTTTCAGCCAAAAGATATTGCTCACTTTTGGGAACTAGGTGGCGGAACCTCTTTATTGGACTTAATCAGCATACCAATCACAAGTGACACCTTACGGTAAGTGAGCCAGCTCTGGGAACAGTTTAGTAAATACCCAGTAGTGTCCACAGGGTGAATATGAGAAGGCTTATGTGAATCAGAATTTGAAGGGACAGTTTTCTGTTGCTGAAGGCTTACACTCACTTTCTATGTGTTTAAACTGTAATGCTTTCAAAGAGGTTTTGAAAGAACCCATGTTCTGGCCTGTGCTGAAGTGAGATAGCTGGCATTCCAACTAATAGCGTATTTTGCAAGCCTGCAAACAAACAAAAATATGTCAAATAACACTTGGGCATTGAATTCACTTGGCAAAAACAAATTTGAAAAGCTTAAATCTTTCCAATATCCATCCAAGTGTGAGCTAATTCAGCCCTGAGTTTTTGCTTCAGCTGGATATTATGTCTACCATTGAATTTAATGCTAATTAATACTGTTGAAGCTTCATCCGTGGGAAGACTATGAGTTAGAGGAAGGAGAAATTCTCTTTATTTGCTGACCTTAAAGAAGTAGAAACTTGAGGAAAACCTCAAACTCTTTGGTGGTGTTTTCCTGACAATGACTCCCACATGTTGGCCAAATCAGATTTGGAAAATTGTGACATTTCTCACAATTTTCCTGGGAACCCGTCTTAGCCAAGGAAAACAAAAAATTTTAAATCTGAAATGTCTTACTCTTGTCAGAGTTTAACACGAACCATTGCTGTGCCTGGATCAAATAACAAAGGGCTTGACAATTACTTGTTATATTTTGGCCATTAGGAGCTTTAGAGTATGGAATTGTTAACAGGACAATTGTTTTTCCATAAGTAGCTGGATACAGATGATGTTGGCTTTATTTGTCCAGTGATATTTTTTTCTTTTAAAGAAATGTAATTTACTGTCTTTTACTTATTACAAAAGTAATGTATGCTCATTTGGAAAACTTGGAAAAATACTGAAAGGGCCAAAGAAAGTAAGAGCACCCGTAATCACATAAAAAATAACCACTGTTAACTTGCAGAGGTATTTCTTTCAGTGTTTTCAGTGTTTGTAAATGTACATTTAGATCTTGCTTTTTTCGCTTATAAGCACCCTTTCCCCCTGACATTATTTTTTATAAACATGGAATTTTACAGCTATGTAGTTTTTCATTTGTTCTCCTTTAATGGACAAATAGTCAAAGCTGCCTGGGAATTAGGGTGGGTCATGGTGGTCTGGTTGAGAAGAGATGGTGAGAGTGGGGAAGAGCTGAAGGAACCAGAGCTGCCAGGTAGTGTGGCCCGAGGCTGAAAGGAGTGAAAAACGCTGGGTTACCTGGGTGTGCGCCGGCTCCACTTCCGGCCCTGATTGTCACATCACGTTGTTATATCCCCTCACTAGTCCACTTCTCCAGGCCCAAGAGGGTTTGGGCCTGATGGCCTTGTGGAAGTTTTGGTTTCTGCAGGAAGCCAAATCTTTCAGCTTCTTTAACACCCCACTTTGTGAGTTCTTGGTCTTCTTTCCCTGGAACCCCAAACAGCTGGAGCCTGCTTTAGGAGAGAGGAGAGGACGGGGTTATGATGAACAGAGGGAAGGGGAGCCATAGGCCGGGCTCCAAAGTAGGTTGCTGAGTCGTTAAGGAATTCATGGAAAACATTTCACTCCTAATATAGAGTGTTTTGCGACTGGAATTAATTTCACACATAATTTCCTTGTGTTGGACAAAGCCCAGCAACTTGAGAAAATAATATTGCCAGATGCTTTAGATACTGTTTATCTTTAAAGTGACTGTTCATAGAATAATTATAGATGGACTGAACATTTCCACAGACTTTAGATAATTTGTAATAGAGCATTTCCTGTGGTTCAGTTCTCTGTTTTAAGAGGTTGTTGGCTTTTAAAAAAATTTTTTTAGCTGTCATTTGCTATGAAGGTAAAAGTAACACAAGTATTTCCAATGAAATGGAAACACCAATGTTAATCTTGGAAAAAAGTTGAATAATCCATTTCTCTTTTGCTTAAAACAAAGTTATTTTTCATTTGGAAAAAATGATAAATTTATTTTATATACATTTTACCACAACTGAAAAAAAGTTAAACCATAGTCATCTTTTTTTTAAACATTAACCATCCTAAACTCCTGAAAATAGAATTAGTTTCCTTACTATTAAAAGTATATATATTATATTATTATTACAGTTAAGCAAAACTGTTTCTGAGCTTATTAAAATGACATAGATATGATTGACTAGACAATTTAATGGCACAATAATTATATAGAAAATCTTGATAATGTCTAAAAGACTACTTTCTGAATTTAGACTTATAGTATAGAATTTAGGTACTGTTTTGCTTGAATTATACAAAAATAGCTGGGTTTGGTCAAATTCGGCAAAATAACTGACTGTATTATAAAATAACTAACATATGTTATAATTCCTTGCTATTTAGTAGCAGAATGTTTTCCCCTGTTGATCAAGGATATCTTGGCTCATGATTATGGCTCCATATACTTATGACCATTTTCTGAAATACTCCTAGATTTGTTTGTTTGTTTTTTATTATGATAAAATCATAACATAAAATTTACTATTTTAGCCATTTTTAAGTGTACATTTTAGTGGCATTAAGTATATTCACATTGTTGTGCAACCATCACCACCATCCATCTCCAGAACTTTTTCATCTTCCCAAACTGAAACTCTGTACCCATTAAACACTAACTCCTATTTCCCCCTCCCCCAACCCCTTGCAACCACCATTCTACTTTCTGTCTCTATGAATTTGGCTACTCTAGCTACCTCATACAAATGAAATCATACAATACTTTTCCTTTTGAGTCTGGCTTATTTCACTTAGCATAATGTCTTCAAGTTTCACCCATGTTGTAGCATATGTCACAATTTCCTCCCTTTATAAGGCTGAATGACATTTCATTTTATGTATATGCCACATTTTGTTTATCCATTCTTTTTTTTTTTTTTTTTTTTGAGGAAGATTAGCCCTCAGCTAACTACTGCCAGTCCTCCTCTTTTTGCTGAGGAAGCCTGGCCCTGAGCTAACATCCGTGCCCATCTTTGTCTACTTTATATGTGGGACGCCTACCACAGCATGGCGTGCCAAGTGGTGCCATGTCCGCACCTGGGATCCGAACCAGCAAACCCTGGGCCACTGAGAAGCGGAACGTGCGAACTTAACCGCTGCGCCACCAGGCCGGCCCCTATCCATTCTTCCATTGATGGACATTTGGGTCATTTCCCCCTTCTGGCTATAGTGAATAGTGCTGCTGTGAGGATTGCTGTACAAATATCTGTTTGATTCCTTGATTTCAATGAAGTAGAATTGCTGGATCATATAGTAATTCTATGTTTAAGTTTTTGAGGAACCATCATACTGTTTTCCACAGCGGCTGCTGCACCATCTTACATTCCCACCAGCAATGCACAAGGGTTCCCATTTCTCTATATCCTTACCAACACTTGTTATTTTCTGGTGTTTTGTTTTGTTTTTATTTTTGTTTTATCATAGCTATCCTAATGGGTATGAAGTGGTATCTCACTGTGGTTTTGATTTGCATTTCCATAATGATTAATGATGTTGGACATCTTTTTGTAGGTTTATTGGCCATCTGTATATCTTCTTTAGAGAAATGTCTATTTGAGTCCTTTGCCCATTTTAAACTTGAGTTGTTTGTTGTTGCTGAGTTTAGATTTATATTTGATTTCCATAAACACGAGTACACATGCATGTGGTGATGGCAGTGGTGTGTGGTGGTCAGGAGTGTGCTTTCAGAGAGGCAGCATAGTAGAGCTGAAAGACATGTGGTTTTGGATCTAAATACCAGCTCTACAATTTACTAGTTATGTAAATCTGTGCCTCAGACTTCTAATCCATGAAATGGATATCATAACCTCTTCTAGGAAGGGTTGTTGTGAAGATTAAATAAGCTAGGTAGTCCCCTGGCAAGGTCCATCGGTAAATCTATTTCTTTCTGCTTCACCTGATTGTTGCGTTGTTGCTGCTGCTATTATTAGTATTTTTGTTTCCCTTCTTTGGAGCACACAGTAAAATTGGATCTAAATGTGGCATCGTTGGACCCAATTTCTTGTATATTATTTGAATTGGATTATTGTTAGTTCAAACAAAAACTTCAATGCCACTGCTGGTTGTAACACTTAAATATCACTAGAGAGAAGCACTAGAATAAATAAGGCTGTAACTTTTTTTTAATCTTAGAAAATTGCTGGGGTTTTTTCCTTAAGCTGTAGTGTTATTCTTGATAATAAATTTCAGTATAGTAGCGTTTCAAAATGGTAATTATTTTGAGGGTTTTTTTGAGAAATGTTTTTATTTCTTTAGGACATTTTCTATTGTTCTTGTTTTGGATCTTTCAAAACCTAATGACCTTTGGCCCACCATGGAAAATCTGTTGCAAGCCACAAAAAGCCATGTAAATAAAGTGATAATGAAACTGGGAAAGAAAAATTCTAAAGCATCTTCTGAAATGAGACAGAAGATATGGAGTAATATGCAGAAGGACCATCCAGTAAGTTGCTATTGGAATTATTCCTGGAATCCTTAGCCCCATACGTAGTTAAAGATAACATCACAGACAATTTAGATTTTTATGCATGACTTGAAATTCATTTGATGTAGGTGAACCTGTTCACTGGAAAATTATAGCAATTTAATAAAACCTCAGTAAGAACAAAACAAGGAAAGAGATTTCTTATGTCTTCTTGTTAGACATTTACTGTGATTGTTATGGCATATTATACCAATCAAAAGAAATAGAGTTTTAAAGTAGTAGTTTGATACTGATTTTATGATCTCTGTAAAATGAAGATAAAAAACCAGACTGTACAAAAGTCATCTGGCAAAGACTAGATGAAGCTACAAATTTAAACAAGCAGTAGAGTTTTAATAGCCTTAACCGTCACTCTATATTTTACATTCATTTATTCTCTGTCACATACTCAATATCTTTTGATCACCTGACACCTAATTAAATTACTACAAAGTTACAATGTTGGTAACACAAGTTCTTGAAATACAATCATGAATATCATCTTCTAGAAATCTAAGAGCAGTATCTTATATTGCCCAGAGTTTATATGGATGTTTTACACAGGTAATATCAGAACAAAACTGATAGTTTATGGTTCCCATCTACGCAGTATGAATGCTATTACAACAAACAGCTCAGACAAAGTAGTAAAAAAAACAAACAGAAAGATGACATATTATATGAGAAAATGAAAGGGCAAAACATGAAAAACAATAAAATCATAGTAATTTATGGAATTGCCATTTATAGTTTCATACTTGACAAATACAGTTTAGTAAGTGAAAGTTAAATATTGGAACAACCTCCATGTCAAGCAAACAAAGTCAACATCTATGAAGAGACTAAAATGGTATATTTTTGGAAGTAAATAGAAATTGCTGAATACATAGTAATATACAATTAACTATAATAAATCAATGAAATATGTTTGTTAACAGGATCGTGAAATAATTGACCCGTTTCCAATACCTCTGGTCATAATTGGAAGCAAATATGATATTTTTCAGGTAAGCTCTTGCACTTCTAGTTATGTTTGTTGTACATGCTTGCCTAGGCTTTATGAGAGGGGAACAAAGGTAATAATGAAATGAGAAAAATTACTCTGGGAGGGAGAGGCCAAGGACTCACACATCTTAAAGATTTTAGAAAAGAGGATATAGTTGGGAAAGAGAAATTAGGTAAAGAACAATAAATACAGTGAAACAGGGATATGGCAGTGGAATGCGGATAAGATAGAAGATTGGAAACTGAATCGTTAACCCATCACTGAGGGATAGGACTGACTTCCCAGCTTTTAAATTGAAGAAAGTAGAAACTTGGTTTCTTCTTACCTTTGCTTGTCAGAGAATCCTCAGGGTATTCCATACTATAAAGTGTGTACTTATATCTAAATTCTATTGAGCTAAGTGTTTAAACAGAGGAAGATCTGACAGCCATACTTCTAGAAGGCTACACCTATAGTTTAACTCTCTATAGAAACAAATATCAAGGTATTGGAATCCTACTCCTCATGGTATGTTCCCCAAGAAAAGAAATAATCTATTTCTACATTTAATAATTTAAACCTTCCTACTATAGATATTTAGTTCTTTCAACTTGTTTTTTCTTTTTAATAACGTATTTCTTCAGGATTTTGACTCTGAGAAGAGAAAGGTGATTTGCAAGACACTTCGATTTGTTGCACATTATTATGGAGCATCATTAATGGTTTGTACATTTCTTATCCTTTGAGCTTGAATGGACAGTACCAAATATGGAAAGATTAGCAACTTGATACACAGTTATGAATAATAATGCTTTTATTAATGTATGTCATCCCCTCTTTCCTTTCCCATTGCCCAAAACTCCTCTTGTTACAGAGTGTTTGATAATGTATTTATGGAATGCACTCTGCTAGATGGCCTACCATTTCTTCGCAGCAAAAGCTCTAACTTGCTTATATCCATAAACCCCAGTCAATCTTAAAGAGATAAATTGGTTATTTATTTTTAGTTTCCCCTTAAGAATTAGAATCTGTATTATCTTAAAAGAAAAGAGAAAAAAAAATTTAACAGTGTGGCTTTTTTTAAACTTAAAAAAAATGTTGTCTGTTGTAGAGGTTGAAAATGTGAACTCAGGAATGGTTCAAATATCAGGGCAACCATTTACTAGATATGTGATCTCAGACAAGTCACTTAATCTCACTTAAGCCTCAGTCTCCTCCAGGATAAAATGGACAAAAATAGTACCTTCTTCATAGGATTGTTGTGAGGATTAAAAGAGGGAGTTCAGGGCCAGCCCCATGGCCTAGTGGTTAAGTTCGGCACACTCTGCTTTGGCAGCCCAGGTTCAGTTCCCAGTCACGGACCTACACCACTCATCAGCAGCCATGCTGTGGCAGCATCCCACATACAAAATAGAGGAAGATTGGCATAGATGTTAGCTTAGGATGAATCTTCCTCAGGAAAAAAAAAAGAAGAGGGAGTCCATGTGAAATGCTTAGCAGAAGGCCTGAAACAAAATATTTCTCACTAAATCTTGGTTACTATAACTACTGTTATCATTATCTTCCACAACAGGACCAAATTTTGCTGGATGTCCTTTAATGCAAAAAATATAAAAGCATTTTTATTAAAAAAAATACTTTCTGAGGCCGGCCTTGTGGGATAGTGGTTGGGTTTGCACACTCCGCTTTGGCAGCCCAGGGTTCACAGATTCAGATCCCAGGCATGGACCTGCACACCACTCATCAAGCCATGCTGTGGCAACATCCCACCTACAAAGTAGAGGAAGATTGGCACAGATGTTAGCTCAGCAACAATCTTCCTCAAACAAAAAAGAGGAAGATTGACAACAGATGTTCACTCAGGGCCAATCTTCTGCACCAAAAAAAAAGAGAAGAAAAAAAACTTTCTTCTTCCCATTTGAATGATCTATTTTTTCCCCTAAATCAAAGTGCTCGGAGGAATCCAGAGATGAGATGGGTCTAGGCCCCTGCCTTCATGGCTAGTACATTATGACTTAAAAGTAATAAATAAGATCTATAGTTTAAATGTTTATACTTTTCAGAATACTCCAAATAAATTTCATTATGTATTTTCTTAAAAAATCGTCATCTTTTATGTTTGTACTGTATCTGCTTACATATTAGGTTAACAGAGTACTTTGGAAATATTCTTTGCTATTTTGAAAAGATATGAGGAATTTAAAGTGAATGACTGATCTAGGGTACAGAAGCAAAGACCATGGATCTTCTAGTTTCTTATTTTTGCCGCTATATAAGGCCCCACATTTAGTTCTGGTTAGTTAGCTGAGAGAAATCCCCATCTTTCTTTAGGAGCAGATCACATTTGATGATCAGTCATGGACCAGTCTGGTTTTATGGGTACAAATTTATATACAGTCAGGTCAACCCAGACCACAGCAGGGCTGGGATTAACGATGGCCCAGAAGACTCTAGGAGATCAGGGACGAGGGCAAGGATTTGAGAAGGCCTTCATCTCGGTTTTCAGTAACCCAAGGGATCAGAGGTTGGGGTAGAGGAGCACTTCTGGACCACCAAGGGAACCATATAAAGCGTTTCTAGCTTCCCAAACCAAGAAGAGCATAGCCAAAGTTATCAAACCCCATCTTTCAGTTTCACTTCCACTCTTACTCTACACCCCATTCAAGGGAGAGAGTTGGGTACTGCCTTACAAGATTCAATGATGCTAAGCAGTTTTTTTTAACACTATAGTTGATCCTTTATTATTCTGTCAAGAATACTTATTGAATATTATGAGCAATCTAATAAAGTTTATAAAAACAAAAATAGGAAAATGTTGATAAGTGGGACCAGATTCAGTGGAGAGCCCTTAGGATGGTAGAGGTCTTAAAATCGTGACATATGAGGAGCAGTATAAAATTATATTCTGTTATCTGGAATATGATAATACTCTTTAAATATTTGAAGGACTGTTCCATGGAAGAGGGATTAAATGTATTCTTTGCTCTCTTAGAGTCAAGAACAAGGAATCAACAGAGAGAGTTTAGCTCAAAGTAAGAAAGAACTTTCTAATATTACCATTACAGTCATGTGCTGCATAACGATGTTTCAGGCAGACCATATATATGACAGTGGTCCCATAAGATTGGTACCAGATAGCCTAGGTGTGTAGTGGGCTGTACCATCTAGATTTGTGTCAGTACACTCTATGATGTTGGCACAACAACAAAATCGCCTAATGACTCGTTTCTTGTAACATATCCCTGTCGTTAAGAACCCCCTGACTGCATCTGAAAATGGAATAAATTGCTTTGAAAGTTAATGAGTTCCCAGGCGTTGAGTTTATCCAAACAGAAACTCTACAGCTATTTGTGGAGGATGTTTTCCAGGTGATTGATGCAGCAGATTGGGAGGGTTGAGTCAGAAACTTCTCATGTCCTCCCAGCCCTGCAGTTCTATGAAATACATGTGTCATGAGGTTTTTTCCTCTCCATATAGGGAACATAATAATAATGATGATAATAAAGAGAAGTTGTTTTTAAATTTAAAGTTTTCTATATTTTTAAAAATTGTCTCACTAGAAGCGTTAAAAGTGTTTCAATTTTTTTAAAATAAAGATATCAAATCTTACATATTCACATGAGGGTTCTCCTTTGAGTAGTTTCCCTGGGAACCTATTCTTAATCCAGAATGAATCTTATCCTGAAAATTGATCCCTTTGCCTTATAATTACATTTCATTTTGGTTCAAGATTGTTTTTTCCACTTTCATGTATCTTAGTCATTCTGATTTGGCTAAATGAGTTTTGGTATTTCCACAAATCAAATCTAGTCTGAAAAGATGTGTAAGATAACCATATGTCCTGGTTTTCACCCGATGTCTCAGCTTAATTACTGACATGTGGACAGATTTTGGGGACTCCTCTCCCTCGTCTAAGAAGTGAATCTGGCAAGCAAACTGCATAGGCTTTTAAGTCAGCACAGTAGAAATCCATGCTGCACTGGGAAGCAGCAGGCAGGCCATGTTCAGCCTGTGTCAAAGTGACCTTGCAACCCTACCTCATGACTGAAGACGCCAGCTGGACAGATCCACAGAAGGAAAAGATAAAGGGGTACCTCGCTCTCACATTTCCCAGCTGTGTTTCTTAGAGATTGAGGGAATAATTACCGACCCTGGTCCTTGCCTTCCTCCACACATAGGGAACTTCAGCATCTATGAACTTGTCTGATGTATAACCAAGGAATTCTTGTTTATGGTACATTCCATGTATAATGTAGAGAAAAGCCCAGATGTGCTCCATCCCCTTTTCTCTACATATAGAAAATCCAGTTGTAAGGTTTTTTTTCCTTTTCCTCTTCCCTGCATGTAGATTGTTTTGTGAAAGAGAGGTAAGCTGCGTTTAAACTCACACCCCTCGGGGCAGTTCCATCAGAGTGCTCTGTTGAACTGTTTTCCCAGGGTTCAAACTCCTCATGCTGATTATTGAATAAACTCCTCCACTAATAACACCTAAACTCTTTATTTCAGTTGATAAATAGTACCCACACCCCCTTTCATTCTCCAAAGTGTTCTGGTTATGGTCACCCTAATTATATATCACCACCGAAAATATTTAGTAGCTTATTTTGTAGGCTCCAAAGGCAATTCAGAAGTTGAAAAATCATTTTAGTAAGTGTCAGTGTTGTTGGACTAGTCTGCAACACCCACGTTAACTGCATTGAAGGCAGTAACATGCCCTTGGATGGAAAAGTTGTTTATAATGTATACCTCCTACTTTTTAACCAACCAGATTGCATTTTGACAATGATTATGATCCATATGTGGGAGTAGCTGAAATGATTAGTGCATAAACCACAAGTCCCTTCAATATCATGCACTCATGAAGTTTAAAGAATAAGTTAAAACAAATTTATCAAGATTTCTTTCTTCATTTGGGTTTTCTGTTGTCTACTCAAACACAAATATTTGTTGGGCAAATAAATAGTAATTCTCTCTGCAGTCTGTACTTGTTCAAAGCCATATTTATTTTACCGTTTCTGTGATTTGAAAGCCAAGTATATAATTTATTCTCCTGATTTTTTTTAGTTTACCAGTAAGTCAGAAGCTCTATTACTAAAAATACGTGGAGTTATCAACCAGTTGGCATTTGGCATTGACAAAAGGTACTGTTAAAATATATATTTTAATATCTTTTTATTGTATTTTTTTGCCAGTATTGTCTCATCTGATTATTGTTCTCACCAGTTGTTTGTTTCTTGACCAGGAAAGTGCCCCAGATGGCTGTTCTTAGAGAGAGAATTTCATATTATCCCTTGCTCATTACATTGTTTAAATATTTCTCAAATTTTACAGTGAAAATATTATATAATACTTAGAGACTAGAATAAAATAATAATTCTATTATACTTGTTTCCCTGATTTCTTTTACTCCTTTTCTCTCATTTTAGTAGCTTTCCCTCTATTATCACTTGCTTATATTGATTAGAAATGGAATCAATAATGTTAGTATGTATTCTTATTAACCTTGCTACTTTTCTTGATTTTGATTTAAGGTAATTTGGGCCTGTCACTTTTTTTTCCTGTAAAACGTTTATTAATGCTATACTTTAATTTTTGAAATCACATACATTAATATTCACTCATTCATTGGGGGCAATGCTCTCACCACTGGCTAGATATAAAACTTGGCTCTTGTATTTACAGTAGAATGTGGCAGGATATTTGACTGCTAAACTAAATTAGAGTGTTTTTTCTTCTTACCTATGTAGCAAATCAATATGTGTGGATCAGAATAAACCACTGTTTATCACAGCAGGATTGGATTCTTTGAGTCAAATAGGTTGGTGAACTTATTAAGATTGTTCAGTCTTTTTTTAATTGCTCATTGATTTTATCCTACTCCATGTTCACTGCATCTCCAAAAAAACACCGTTTCTGGTTTCATTGTTGTTGCCGTTATTTCTTATCTATTTATTTATGTACACAATATCGGTGTAACATGCATCACATTGACATATTTGTGATGGAAGAGATGTCGCCACATAGCAGAGTGATTTCTGACCTCTACTCCACTGAAAAATTTACATGTATTTCCTTTCCCTCAGTGATTTCCAGGTATTTTTAAGTTTTAGCTCCTTCAGTTTAGAAGAAAACCAGGAGCACAGAATGGTCAAGGAATTCAAAGCTATATATTATGGGCAACGATGGAAAATTAGAGACTCAAGTGGTGGACTGTCTACATCCATCCATCCATCCATCCATGTAGTTGTACTACAACTACAATTAGTTGTACTAATTAGATATGCCTTAATTTTTCATGATGAAAATAGCTTGCCTCATCTAATGAGATGTATTTCCTAAACTTATAGACGCCATAGGCTCATGAAGCAAAAGGAATTTTAAGAGTTTATATAGTCAAGCTCCTTATCGTCCCATAGAAGCTATTTTCATTGTGAAGATCTTCAGGCTTAGCAACTCTGTGTACTCTAGGGTTGGCATAGTTTGGTTTTAAACTCTAATGGGCAGTAGTTTTCTTTTTTATTTCCCATTCCCCATTACTCTTACAAGCTAAAGTTGACTTGATTTCACATGTAGGGATCTTTGTAATGAAATTATAGATTGAATTGAAATGAAAGGAAAAGAGGTAGTTAATGAGAGACCATGGAGACTTATTTTTATAATTATCATTAGTACCAACTTAATTTCAGTAGCAGTGAGAATCACTCTGTGTACTGATAGATAATGTGTATGGAAGTCTTTTGCCCATGTGAGTTGTTGGAGGTCAGAAAACGGTTGAGAATTACTGAATTTAAAAATCATGGAGCTTGGACCTTATCAAAATGAAAAACGTTGGCTCTTGAAAGCCCATGTGAAAAGGATGAAAAGACATGTTATAGTCTGGGAGAAAATATTTTCAGACCACATATCCAACAAATGACTAGCATCTAGAATATATTAAAGAACTCAACAGTAAAAAAAAATCCAGTTAGAAAATCGACCAAACACGTTTCACTGAAGAGGATATACAAATGGCAAGTAAGCACGTGAAAAGATGTTTAACGTTATTAATCAGGGAAAAGCAAATTGAAACCACAATGAGATATCACCACATACCTATCAGAACAGCTAAAATAAAAAATAGTGACAGCACCAAATGCTGACAAGGAAATGGAGAAACTGGATCACTTATACATTGCTGGTGGGAATGTAAAATGGTACAGCCACTCTTGAAAATAGTTTGATAGTTTCTTACTAAGCATCTAGATACCATAGGACCTAGAAATTGCACTATTGGGCATTTATCCCAGAGAAATGGAAACTTATGTTCACGTAAAAATCTGTACACAAATGTTCATAGCAGCATTATTTGTAATAGCCAAAACTGGAAACAACCCAGATGGTGTTCAACAGGTGAATGAAAAAACAAACTGACACATTGATACCATAGAATAGTACTCAGCAATAAAAAAGGAACAAACTATGGATACAACAACTTGGATGAGTCTCCAGGGAATTACGCTGATTGAAAAGGCCCGTCAGAAAAGGTTGCATACAATATGATTCTATTTATATAAAACTTTTGGAATGAAAAAATTTTAGAAATGGAGGGAAGATTAGTGGTTATCATAGATTAGGGACAGGACTGTGGGTGAGGAGGTAGGGGGAGAGGTTAGGAAGGAGTGGGTATGGTTATAAAAGGGGAACACAAGGGATCCTTGTGGTAATGGAATGGTTCAGGAACCTACAAACGTGGTAAAGTTGTATAGAACTTACACACACACGCACACACGCACACACACCACAGACAAGGACAAGTAAAAAACTTGGGAAAGCTGAATAAGATCCGTGGATTGTATCAATGACTTTCTGACCAAGGTGATACAGAGGCCCCAAAAGATCAACAGTGAAACAATCTTAGTGAACAGTGTAGGTGCTGGAATAGAAAGAATGAAAAACCTCAGATTATAGACTGAAAATTGCCAAGAAGTGGCAGCAAATTTTTTTAATTTTCAAATTAAATTATACAAGCAATACATAGACATTCTCCTTATAAAACATTAAAATAGTACATATGAGGATCAAGTTTGGTATGTATCTTTCCAGACCATTTTCTATGAATGTATATGTCATGTAGGAAAAACTATTTGTTTTAACATAATTGTATCATTCTGTATCTGTCATTTTGAAATTTGCCTTTTTTACTCAATATGCCTTAGTGGTTTTTCCATATTAATGCTACATATAGGTTGGTATTTTGACTGCTGGATAGTGTTACAGAGCATGGCTATGCATAGTAATTTTCACTATTCCTCTATTCATGGACATTTTGGTTGTGGCCATTTTTTCACTAATACAAATGATGCTACAATGTAAAATCCTTAATACACATATACAGGTGTTTCTACATTAAGCACCAAAAAGTGGAATTGCTGGTTAAGAGGGTATGACCTTTTTTAGTATTTTAATAGTATTTAGTAGTGCCAAATTACCCTCCAAATTAGCTATCCCAATTTGCACTCTAACCGGTAGCACATAAGAGTATTTGTTTCCTTACAAATTCCCAACACATGAGAATACTAAACTTTCATATTTTTGCTGAGTAGCAGTGTAAGTGTGGGGAAAGAGAATTATAGTTTACTCATTACCCTGTCTCCTCTTCCTCTGATTCTGCCCCAGTGGCTTTCTACACTAGGTAGGGGTAAATTTTAATAGTGATATTAAGTATATTATATAATATATATTAAGGAGAGGGGAAATGAGTGATCTAAGGTTTATACTTTTATAAGTGTCATCAGTTTTATTAATAGAGTTTTTAATGTTTTAATCAATACAATCATTTGGACTAAACTTCCAATTTTAGGATCTCCTCCTGTTCCTGATAATGACATTGGAAAGCTTCATGCCCGTTCACCAATGGAGTTGTGGAAAAAAGTATATGAAAGGCTCTTTCCACCAAAGGTATATATTTCTAATTCTTTTAAAGAAAGAATTTTCAGCACTGTTATTCAACAGTTATTGGGAAATGTCCCCATGGGCCTATCATCATAACTTGGTTTTCATCTCTCATGCTCGAAAATCAATTAAATATTCACTAAAAGTCTATTGTAGATGAGGCACTGTAGGGGTTAAAAGACGTGTAAGACACAGTTCTTGTTGCACTTTCAAACAGAGCTCTCCGGGATTAGAGAAGGAGAGACAACGTCTGAAAGGAGAGGAGGGAAGAGGACCTGGTGGAATTTGAAATGGCTCTCAACGGTGATGATAAAAGCTCAGAAGATTGTAGAGAGCCTTCAGCGGGTGACTGAGGAAAGGGAACTTGGTTTGTGAGGCAGATAGATGATAGTCTTTGAAGGTTCTGGGTTATGGGCATGAAATGATTTGAAGAATTGTAATTTCAGAATACCAACACACTGAAAGATATCAAGGACCCTGCAAGAGACCCTCAGTATGCTGAAAGTGAAGTTGATGAAATGAGAATTCAGAAGGATCAGGTATTATCCTAAACATTTATTTTATTTCATCTTGAGTTTTATCACAAAAATACTTCTAGAATTCCATAGATTTTCCCAATTTATTTACTTGATTTTTTTTTCTAAAGATTGGCACCTGAGCTAACATCTGTTGCCATCTTCTTTTTTTTCTTTCTTCTCCCCAAATCCCCCCAGTACATAGTTGTATATTCTAGTTGTGAGTGCCTCTAGTTGTGTTGTGTGGGACACCACCTCAGCGTGGCCTGATGAGCAGTGCCATGTCCGCGTCCAGGATCCCAACCAGAGAAACCCTGGGCTGCTGAAGCAGAACGAGTGAACTTAACCACTCAGCAACGGGGCCAGCCCCCATACTTGATTTTTTTTTTTTTTACTTTTAAAATTATTTAAATAATATGTCTTTACTATATAAAAAGTAAAATTCTGATATGCATAAAGAAGGAATTAAAAATTACCTATCATTCTACCACCCAGAGATGACCTAATGTTCACATATCCTTTTTGAATTTTCCAGTTTGTGTTAAAAGATTCGCAGTGATTCTTAACTTGCTGCTGGGGAGACACTTTCATAATAGTCTTTTGTTTGTGGGATTATTTAAAAGGTTTTGGGTTTTATTAGGACATTCAAATGTACCTATACTTTTCTTGTACCAGAAAAACTAAGGACCACCCAGCCTGAAAGCACACAAACACAGCTGACAAAACCCAGATCTCTGAGGAAAGTGGTTAAAAGTGGAGACTGCATTCCTTATGTGCCCAGTAGCACTGTTTGTGATACACAAGTCTGATATAAGAATACAAAAGTTGATAAATTCATCATGACCCAATACCTAGATTTTCTCAGATCTCCTTTTAGTTTGATAAAACGGGACATTGTGACCTTATAAATTGAATGTCCTGACAGCCTTTCAGGTGGAATTTGTAGAGCTGTGTAACTTGGGCGGTCACACTGGGGCAAGCATGACCTGAACACAGCCATTTACTGGGAGCGGTGAGCAGGGTCTTTTTCTAGGCACCAGCCTTTTGCCTTTGTGGGCACTAGAATAAGTAGGCAAAATATTTTATTTAAATGTAGTCCAGAAGACTTTTGAAAAATATGTCATGAATATTTGGAGGGTTTTGTAGATGTAGCAAAGTGAGAAGCATGTTGTAGGAACAGTAAAATGACCTCATGTAACCCTTATTATGTGTGCAGCTTGTCTATAGAGATTAGTTGGAAGTCATCTTTGAATTAATATTTATCTAGGAGTCAATGACTAACTTCTATTTTTAGTAAGAGTATCTGTTTATATTGTATGGTGATCCCTTTTATTACATTTATATACACAGATATTTTTGAAGGGTTAGGGTATTTCTGAGCATCATGAGTTTTCACATTCAAACCCATCTTCCCTAACTGACCTAAAAGCATAGGAATTTCGAGTGGAACTGGAAAGCAACCCCACAATACCTATATCAATCTACGCTCAACTCTTGTGCCACCCAGCTACCTCAGTAATTGCTATATTCTCCTGCCTGAGAGAGTTTTTTAACCCACCTGAAAAGTTATGATATCTTAATTTTGCCTCTAAAACAGTTTCATTTGTGATGTTTTAGTAAATGAATTGCATTGATTTCAGTTTGCCCATGTCATACCTTAACACAATTTTATGCTTTTGCTTTAAAGTTACCTAATGATTACCAGTTGATGCTCAATTATTTAATTGATATCCACATCCAAATTTTGACATTCTAATATGCAAAATTTTAAATATGTCTATTATTTCATGCTCTCCCAAAGTAATTTCAGAGCCTTACATTGTTTCCAGTTGTGTGCTGATATACACAAAAGCTGACTTAGGTATGAGAAAATTCTCTATAGATTAATTTTGAAAGATTCCTATTAATTTCTCTCTAAACATTTAAAATTACATTTTCACTTTTTATATGGGCATGATAGTCAATGCCAGTTCTATTAACACAGTCTATTAAAAAATTCATCTGCATTAGGTGGAAATCTAGCCAGTTGTTTATAGCTCTTTCTTCACATTGTCTATCTTTTTGATCTTTTAATATTATTGCCACGTAACATTTTTCAGTGAAAATAGCATTATAATCTTTAGATTTGATTTGATTTGCCATGTGGAACAATAGTAGTATTCATTTAAAAGAAATGTCTCACTCAGGGTTTTCCATAATTACGCAAAAGTCTGTCCTTCCTTAAAAGCAACCTGTAAATGCTTAAAGAAATCTATACTGTGAGCTATGTGTCTGCATGCCTTTAACCCAGATAGGTACTTCCGATCCTCATACTTCTGGGAGGAAAGATGGCATCGTGTTTCATTAAAATATAATACAGTTGCATATGAGTGAAGGGCTGGCCCTGAGCCTGTCTGAGACCAGATGTCGTCCTCCTCTTGACTCCCTCCTCATCTCCAAGCCCCATTATCAGTGGCTTAGATGGTCATTAGGAATAAAACAAAAAATAAAGTTAGAGGCCTTTAAGCTTTGGCAGTGAAATTAAAGCATGCCACTTTTAATATGGAGAGGCTATTCATGAGTTCCATTCAGTTCCTCCAACACTTAGGTCTTCAAAAAAGGCCCAAGTCATATACCGTCGTGCTCTGCATAACAAAGTTTCAGCCAACAACGGACTGCTTATATGACAGTGGTCCCATAAGATTAGGACATACAGCCTAGGTGTGTAGTAGGCTATACCATCTAGGTTTGTGTAAGTACAGTCTGTGATGTTCGCACAATGACCAAATCACCTGACAATGCATCTCTCAGAACATATCTCCGTCATTAAGCAAAGCATTACTGTAGAATCATTCAGCAAGAAACAGGTGTCTGTCCCTCTGTCCTGGAAGAACTGCGTTTAAGCCCCACTTCTAATAATAACCCTGCTGGAGTCGGGGAGGCACCAAGCCCAGCGTTTCATAATACCTTATTGTGAGTCCTTGGTGGTAAAACGTGTCCTTTGTGATACCTGTCCAGAATCCTCTTGCTCCCAGTCCCCCCAGATGCATGGAGAGCCTCACAGGGGACTGAAATCGGTCCTCACAGGTTTGACCATCAGCCTTAAGACCATTTCACCTTTCCTGCAGACTGTCTTTCCTAATTAGCTCTCTTTCCTCTAATTACTCTAAGTTTTCTCTTTTGCCTAGTCAGATGGGCACCAGAAAATACTTCCTCAGTATTCACTATTTTTTAAAACCATCTAGTTTTAAAGAGAATGTGAGTATAGAAAGACTTGTTGAACCCTTCTACGTCTTTTCTATATTTTTGTTGTCAAAGAAAGCAAAGAAAAAGGAAAAAGTTTGGGTAAACAATTATTTTAAGATCTTCTTGGCCAAACACACTAACTATTTTGAATGTCTGTTTTCAAAAATCAACTTGTTTATAATCCCTAGGCCTATAATTTAAACACATGCCCACTGATTTACATGTTCAGGGGGAAATCCTCTTACTGTCCTTTATTGAAGATGCTGGTTTAAGCGTTGTCAGACTGTGGCCCGTTTATATTTCAGAACTTCAGAGGTTTCTGAGAGGCAGGGTGGAAACCTTTCTTGGTTTTGCTTTCAGTTTTACAATGGCTCTTCAAAGCAGCCATGAAGAATTGCAGTGTAAGGAAAACCCTCTTACTTGCTTTTCCTTTAGAGTGTCATCATGGTATTTTGCATTTACATGATAGCAGTGTTCAGGATCTAGTGGACATGGTGAGTTCTGTATCGCACCAGTTATTCTTATGCCCCCTCTGGCATGGCCAGTGACCAGCCTCATTCTTCTCTCAGTTTGCCATCTGCAGAAGGGAGATGCTACTAGCAAAGAATCTCGAAGCAATGTCCTTAACTTTATTGTTGGTAAAAATAATTCAACACTTCTAATTAAAGACAAAGTTTGTGATCACTGATTACTGTTTATTCTTTATGAGTTAATCTTTTAAACCATAAGTGGTAGATAACTGGTGAGCCGAATTAACTTCATTAGAAAAAATAAACCAAGCTGTAAAGACTACATTGGAATTAATACTGTAAAAATTCTTCCAAGGTCTTTATACAGTTCTGAAATTTTAACATTTAACTTTTAATAACTTAGAGTATGAAAGAAACAATCTGTCACTTTTCTGAAAATGAGAAAGGAATTTTCTTTTCATAGCAACTATGAACTTCAATTATGTTAGCCAAAGGGCAGTGATTGCCTTATCTTGCAAAATAACCACTTTTTGCTTATCTGAAATAGTAATATACTTTGTGCAGCTATTTAGACATTGAAAAATATGCAAGGGGCCAGGAGGCAATCCCCTTAGATGATGCCCTTTTTTTTTCCTGAGGAAGATTCACCCTGAGCTAACGTCTGTGCCAGTCTTCCTCGATGTGTGTTGATGCCACGGCATGGCCACTGAAGAGTGGTGTAGGTCCACGCCCGGGAATCAAACCTGGGCCACCGAAGCGGAGCACACTAAACCACTAGGTCACGGGGCCAGCCCCTTAGATGATCCCTTTTGCAATGCAGTCGTCTTATGCAAATTTCCACCCTACTAAAATTTATCTTTATTTTATGAATTGTAAAAGTAACACATACTCATTGTGGAAAAAAACTCAAAAGGTATAGAAGTATAGAAAATAGAAAATGGAAGTGTCCTGCTCTCTCTCCACCTGTTTGCTTTTTTCATGTGGCACATATGACCACTGTTGTTTTTTCTGGCTGCCTATGAAGCCCAGTGTGAATGAGCACTGATGAATTTATCTGTCCTTACCAGCAGATATCTAAGTTGTTTCCGATTGTGTGCCAATATACACAGTGCAATGCATATCCTTCTACTTATATCCTTGTTCTCTTCTCCATTATTCTATAGCGTAAAGTTCTAAAGGTACAATCACTGGGTCAAAGGATATATACATTTTAAATATCAATACTTGGCTAAGTTCAGCAGGTTTTGACAAGAGTTGAACAGCAAACAACTAAAAATGAGATCACTTTTAAATACTTAAAGTATAGCAAATGCTTTATTAGTTGAAAGACAATTCATATATACTGTATAGTAAATAACTTTGTCTGAAACTTTAATAAATTCATCTCTAAGTGCCCCTTAGGCTACACAAAAACCCTGAAGACTCTGCATTTCTAGCAAATAAATCCTAAGTATAATCATGTACAAAATAATTGTCAAGAAATTTTGAGAATGATAATGCTATAAAGGATACAGTGTTAGACCTAAAAAATGCTAAGGCAGTTTTAAGGTGCTTAGTTTCATTTTTAAAGTTTTTTAAAAAAAATAATACATATTTTTGTTCTAGGAACTGGAACAGTACAAAAGAAGTTCTTCAAAGTCTTGGAAACAAATTGAGCTTGATTCTTGAACCTAATTCAACTATAGTGTATTCATTTCTTCTTTCTCAAATACAAGTAAGATTATTTTATTAATTAGCTCTTATGGTAATAAGTGAAGAAAGTTAACATATGTAATTTGTTAAAGGAAAAGTGGAATTTCTTAGTGCAACTCCCTGAATACTTTGTCTTTTAAAAGAGAAAAAAGTGTAATTACATGTAATTTTTTTTAAATAAAAAGAATCTTCTACTACTGTTGTCTGACACGTTTAAGTAGTGTATACTCAGTTCAGCATTTATAAGTTTCTGCTTATATGTTTTCAGGAACATGAAAACAAGAGCATTTAGTAACAGTTAGAAGGTTAAGTGCTCATATTAAACACATTCCTTCTCTAAGGACTTCTCAGCTGTGTCTGGTAGGAAACTGAATTGGGTTCGCTGACCCAGGTGTCATCGTTTTACTCTAACAGAGAGGCACAAGAAGCACCTGAAATAGTTATTTAAAGTGCACATTCCTGGGGCCGGCCCAGTGGCGCAGCGGTTAAGTTCGCACGTTCCGCTTCTTGGCGGTCTGGGGTTTGCCGGTTCGGATCCCGGTGCAGCCATGGCTCCGCTTGGCACGCCATGCTTTGGTAGGTGTCCCACATAGAAAGTAGAGGAAGATGGGCATAGATGTTAGCTCAGGGCCTGTCTTCCTCAGCAAAAAGAAAAGGATTAGCAGTAGTTAGCTCAGGGCTAATCTTCCTCAAAAAATAAAATAAAATGCACATTCTTCAGTCCCCATGCCCAGAGATCCTGAATCAGTGGGTCTGGGATGAGACTCAGTAATCTGTATTTTTAATCAGCATTCTGGTAATTCTGACATACTTATTTTGAGTATAACTTTTTGAAGAACAGGCAAATTTAAGGAGATATTCTATCAATAAGCAGGCCAAAACTTCATGAACTGGTAATAACCAAGAACATTTCCAAGATGGAATAGCCTTTAAGAAGCCTCCTCAGTCCTGTAGATGTGTGTCTCTGCTAACCAAGTTCAATTTGGAGTAAGCATAATGGCTGTTGTTAACCAAGAAAGCCTCTTACTCTGTGTTTTTCCATTTCTACTATAAAATATGTTGACTCTAATATGCCGTGCACCCAGCTTCAAATAAGCACCCTTACTGACCTCGAGAACACCAAGACCGATGCGTGGTGTCTGAGTAGACAGCAGACTACGTGATTATCGCAATGAAGGAAGACTTCCTAAACTAGTTGCAGCGCATGTGGTTCCAGCCCTCTTGACAGGAGAATTTTCAGCATGTTTCCAAGGAGCCTCAATCCTATGAGCAGCCAGGCTCCCTGCCTGAGTGGTGTGGAGAAGGAGCTCACTTTAAATTAATAGTGAACATTATGATCTCAGAAACATCACTGACTTGGTGGGAAGAAACAGCCTGTTCCACAATAGTAAGAGGAATTTTTATTATGTAATTTTATTTTCTTACACATCACTGTCCATTTTTGACTTGAGACACAAACTGTCACATGTAGAAAGTCATTGTATTTTTCTAAGATGGTATCACTAACATTTAATAGCTTGAAGACACGTGCTATGTCAATTTTCCAAATGTTTCTGAGCTAGCATGAAATTCATCTGCATATGAATAGTAGAAAATGTTTCCACTTACGTTGTACACCCATATCTTTAGTAAGTTGAAATCAGTGATTTCAAAAGAGGTTCCTGTGGGACTCTCTTTGAACTACTTTAATAGATTATCATCTCCAGAATTGTCTATAACTGATGTGACATATATAATCTGTAAGGCATTATGTAACTATTATACCATAATCATCAGTGTCAAAGACCTTTTATAAAAATTGACAATACTATTCTGGTAATTTACCAGTGTCTCCAGATTCTTAAATACTGTTCTAAGAAATAGAATTTTACTGTGGTTTCCTTAATGAAATGATCTTTCCTACCATAATGTGAGACATTTCAAATGCTATAATTTGTCATTCTTTACAAGTTAGGTCACAGTAACTGAAGAAGTTCATGTACTCTCTAAGATATTCTCAAAGTTACCATGGTAACAATGAGAGTTTCATTTCAGACTTATACATGAATTACCTGAAGACCAATCAGAAAGATAATCAGTCATTTAGTACAGAACTCATTTTTAATAATCTATATACCTCATTTTAAAGCTAAAAATATGTAATATATGTGTCTGTATTTGTATTTATCAGCATTCTTCCTCTTTACAATTAAAGAACATGAATTCCTACTATGTAACTGTGTTCTTCTTAATGTAAATGTTGTGTCAGTTGAGCATCTTTTCTATATGGACTTTAAACAGCTGCTCTCCAACCTTAAAGATGTCATTTCTCAGTACATAAACTTTAGTAACATTTAATATAATAAGTAAACTAAGTGGGAAGTTAAAAATAGCAAATTACTTTTAATACATTACCAGCGGTTTGTCTGGTGTGCTGTGTTCTGAGTTCAGCCCATTCCTGCAGTTTTTCATTTTAACCCTCAAATCATTGGGTGCTCTGTACCAGTGGTCTTCATCATCCGACACCTGTTCAGCATCTTCCCTATGTAATCAGGTAACTCAGACCCCTCATGTGGAAACGTGCACATAAATTTGGGTTTTTAAATGATAATTAAAGCATTCTTACCCAATTCTTCATGAGGCTTTGCTTCAATCAAACCCACAGCTCTCTTGTCTGTTACTTACAGTCAGTAATCATTCAAATATTTTCTTTTTATCAAATTCTTTATCAAATGTAAGCATTTTTTTTTTTTTCTGAGGAAGATTCACCCTGAGCTAACATCTGTTGCCAATCTTCCTCTTTTGTTGTATGTGAGCCGCCACAACAGTGTGGCCACTGATAGACCAGTGGTGTAGGTCCACATCCAAGAACCAAATCTGGGCCGCTGAGTGGAGCACACCAAACTTAACCACTAGGCCACTGGGGCTCGCCCTGTAAGCTTATTTTTTTAACTGACCTGTTTTTCTGGGTCTAGAACAAAGAAAACAAATAGCCACAGTAGTCTCCCACAACTTTATGAATTATTATTATTTACATTTTTGTACCAGCTCAGCCACCGTTTCCAAATACCACGTGTTCCTGCAAGGTGGAATAGCATTCCAGTCCTACATGGATCAAGGGGCACAATGGAGTCTTAACAGTTAAAAAACTTAAGATATAAACTATCAAGAAACACGTGGCATTCTTATCTCAGACACTGAAAGCAGTCATGCACACCTAGGAGCTTTAAGTTCCAGTTTTGGATGTATCCATTTTGGATGGCAGTGTTCTCTGCTATCTGCTAAAGAGATGATCCCTTATTTTAAAAACAACTATTCCTAGGATGACAAGAACTGGGATAAATGCATACAAAACCAGAAAGTTTGTTGTGAATCTGGATGTTGCACCTGGGCAGGTTCTCTCAATGAATTGAATTCCTTGACTGAGGGCACACATTGGATTAATATTCACAGAACCGTTTGAGCTGCCTGCCAGGGAAAAGATTGACAGTGTCAGATATGGTACTTCCCAGGTAATTTCATCAGCAAGTATTTACCAAAAGCCCACTACATTCTTAGCACCCTGCTAAGTACTCTTCTTCATGAAAGATATAATTTAGAGAGCCCAGAATTCATTATTAGATGAAGCAACAGTGAGTGTTCTGGGCCTTGGCTTCATTTGAAGATGGAAATGGGTGTGTTTCCATTTTAGGTTTATATTCATTATCATAGTACTGATAAAAAATCATGATCACTTATGATCATTTAGCACTGAATATCCTAGGGTTACTGACATTATCACCTAAAAATATTTTAAACAAGTACTCAATTCTACCCTGTTCTTTAGTCATCTTCACAGACTGGCTGAGATTTCCAGTGGCCAGGAGGACCTTCTTAGACTCCCACTGTCCTCTCATGGGATTGAGGAACAGACTTTTGCCAAAAATGGCTTTCCTCAGCTGCATACTATGTATATTTGGTGGAACAAGAAGCCACTGCAGCCTGCTCAGCCTATTCTGTTCAGTAGGTATAGGAACTGATTCCATCCAGAATATACTAGAGTTTACCTTGGTGTACGTTAGGTCTATCATTTTCTGAAAACATCAGAGTGGCCTTAAGCAGTTGGCCTTTGACAGGTAACTAACTTGACCACTGCTTATTTTCTTTTATTTTAAAAATCAGAGAAAATGTTAGACTTTTATTTCAAAACAAGGTTTTAAATTTATTTATTATAAGATACAGCTTTTATTTAAAAAATACATTTCCCTCAGGGAACTGCTTCCTAAGAATAATATGTAAAAATAATATTCCAAAAACAGAATACTTACCACAAGTGAAATTCTGTCCATAGAACTCATTGACTACAAGAATCTCACAGCAATATTTTTGGAATGTAAAATAACTGAAGATTTTAAAAGGAATGGGCATTTCGTGTACGTTTCTTAAGAAAAAGAAAAAAGAGGGAGAGATGAAATCCAATAGCGTCTAGTAATAGTCCTACCGAATAAAAATAAAGGCAACCTTTATTTTATGTGTCTCAACATGAATATAGTTTTTCGTCTCTCATTATAAAAATTATGCTCACTATAAAAAACTTCAAACAATACTGAGAAGTATAAAGAACTACTACTGCCCAGAAATCACTATGGTTAACATTTTGGCAATACATGTAATTTGGTAATACATGTATATGTGTGTAAGTATGTGTTTATAAAATTTTACATCAATGGAATTAAACTCTTCATGCTCTTTCTTAACCTGCTTTTTTTCAGCCAAACATATGTCTCAGACATCCTTCCATGTCAGTAAGCGTAGTACTTCGTCATTTTTAATTACAGCTCGGTGGTCCACTATAGTAGAAACCTTAATTTAACAATCCCCTGATGATGCTTGGTGTCTAATTTTTTTGATAAGCACCATTGATATAAATATAAAAGAAAATATACACCTAGCCCACATTAGAGGAGGAGATTTGTGATTAAACAGAGATTTGAAGGTGCTAGCGTATGAAGTGAGAACTAAACTGTAATACCAGGGGAAAAGGGTTGAGAGAGCAAGCAGACATTCATTGTGAACATGAATGTCTCCTCTTCAGTCTGTTTCAGGAGAAACTTCATGCTGACCTTATGGCCTTCTTGGTCCACTGTATAGCATGCATCAATCAACAAATATATATTAAATTCTTTCTGTTTGCAAGGCACAAGTTCTAGGTACTTGAGGAATTCAAGAGAAGTATCCTACCCTTAAAGAATTCACGGTGTAGTTGGGGACATGGAATACATGTCCTTAAGGCTATAAAAATACACAGTAGTGAACGATTCATGCCAAGAAAGTATAAAAAGCCAGTACCATAGCTCCATGGTATTTAGTATTTGTGGTTTCACCTATTCCCAAGTGACCCCCCAAACTCCATGGCTTTCAATTATTGGCAGTTTTCTAAGGCATCAAGTTGAATTAGCCACATGGTGAGGCTGCTAATTGGAAAGAATAGGTAGGCATCTGGGGGGGAACTAGGGGAAGAAAAAAGACACTCTAGGAAGGCAGAATGGTCTGAGTACAGGCATGTCAAGGGCTTCATATGGGACTGAAGGGACCAGAAAGGCTGGAGCAGGGGCCAGCCCGGTGGCGCAGCTGTTAAGTTCGCACGTTCTGTTTCTTGGTGGCCCGGGGTTCTCCGGTTCAGATCCCGGGTGCAGACATGGCACTGCATGGCACGCCATGCTGTGGTAGGCATCCCACGTATAAAAGAGAGGAAGATGGGGACGGATGTTAGGTCAGGGCCAGCCTTCCTCAGCAAAAAGAGGAGGATTGGCAGTTGTTAGCTCAGGGCTAATCTTCCTCAAAAAAAAAAAAAAAAAAGGCTGGAGCAGAGAATTGGAAGTAGGAGCAGTGGGAGGTGAGTTTGGAATGATAGCCAAGAACCAGCTGTTTCAGGGCCTTGAAGTGGGTTGACATTGAAGGACTGTGAGAAAAGTCATGTTGTTTTAAGAAAATTAATGTGGCACCAGCAAGAAGGATAGACCAGAATAAGGGCAGATTAGGAAAAACAAAGGGAGCAGGCTGCAGCAGTAGCTCGTGTGAGATGACAAAGGCCTGGAATAGGATGCTGGCCATGTGAGAATCAGTGCCCAGCCAGCTAGAGTGTTACCTCCTTGAGGTAGGAACCGTGTGCCTTCATCTTGCAGGGCACCACACAGCACAAAACACAAAGTAAAAGCTCCACATGGACTTGTGGTTTGACAACAGAGAAGAAAACCACCATGATCTGGTGACCGATCCAGCGTGTAGGCAGACCACAGAGAGAGAGAGTAGTCATTCATTTATTCACTCAATTCAGCAAGTATTTTTTGCAAACCTAATGGGTTCAAGGCCTTGGGCTGGCCACCGAAAAGAATCATAATGATGAATGAGACACAGCTGCTGCCCTCTGTAGGTTGACAGTCTATTAAAGGAAGACTGTGGCAGGAACGGCACATGATGGGCTGTGAGAGAAAACAGAGAGCTCATGTAGCCAAGGAAGGACAAGCAGGCCTCGTGCAGGTGGCAGAGGGAGACAAACGGATCAGTGAAAGACCTAGGAGCAGAACCCGGCTATGCCACACAAATCCTTGGAGTACATCCGAGAGGGAGGAGCCACAGATCTCAGTGTATTGGCATGGGACTGTCCACATCATATTGTTAAATGGGAAGAAAAGCATGCATACTTTACTCCTTCACAATAATATAATCTCATTTTTACTAAAGATTATATAAAAGTTTAGCAAGCTACACAACAAAATTTAACTCTGGGTTGTGATACTTCAGATAAGTTTTATTTCCTTCCTTATACATTTCTGTCTTCTGTGCAGTTTTTCCCCCCAAAGAACGTGTAAGCAGAAAGAACAACAAAGCTATTTCTATTTGTGCTTAAAGGAGGAGGCAGCCAAAAACACAAATGTTGCAGAGAGTCAGTCAGGAAAAGTGATGAAGGAAAGAAACTTAATGACTGGGAGGTTGATGTGGCCTTCAAGGGCAGAGTTTCAGTTCAGTGGTGGGAGTGGAACCCAGGTGAAGCCTTGGGGTGTTGAGATTTTGCAAAGAACCCAAGAGCATTTGGTAATGTTGGCTGTTGCCTCTTTTTTCAAAAAATGAATGAATCCCCTTTTCCTACAGACCAAATACATGATGTGGTGCCAGATTGATTGGAACACGAAATGATTCAAATATGAAGGAGGAGATGCTGCCCAAGGTTGGGTCTGTACCTTGCTGGCTTG